TGGGAAGTGTGGCGGGTGCGGGGGGTGAGGAGCTGGGGCTGAGCCTCCGGCTGCGGGGGAGTGCCCCTCGCGGGGGTCCCCGCTCCGACCTTTCCACCCGCACTGCCCGTCCGGGGGCTGAGCCTTCCCCTGGCCTCGGGGGGCTCGATCACTCCAGGTCTTGGACTAACCAGGGTCTTCTCCAGGCGTGATTACACCGTATGGGGGGGAAACGATCTGGTGGGAGGTGTCCCTGCCCAGGGCAGGGTGGTTAGAACGGGATGATCTTTAAGGTCCCTTCCAACCCAAACCATTCCATGATTCTATAAATTGGGATCTTCAGGGTTTGTTCTCTGCAACATATCTTGCCTATTATGCAGCACCTCTGAACGACATTCTTCCCCAGCTCTAGCTGGGGAGAGTTGCTTGTGACATGAACGACATGAGGGTCTGTGCTCACTCTAGTGCTGGAGAACACTCCCATGAGCAGCACACCTCTTGGGCAAAGATGTTACACAGACACTCAACTTGGCTCCTTGGCTTCACGCTGTCACTCCAGGCAGAGCCACCACTCTTCCAGACACTAGCTCACAGGGCAACTGGTCCTTTTCCTCCACTTAATCCTTCATTTAAGTCCAGGATATGACCTTAAGACTTGTCTGCTGAGGAAATTTCCTGGGGTTCTCTCTCTCTGCCCCTGGGCTATCATTAGCCTCCCCAGAGGCAATGGAGGCACAGCAGCTGGTGGCCAACATCCAGAGGACAGTCCAGCTCCATGGCTGAAAGGGATTAAGTTTCACTTCTAGACCATGTCTCTCCCATTCCATGGCCAGAGGGGTGAGATGGCCAGAACAGCACATTACTCATCAGGGCTACCATTTTTGGCCTTTTTGGAAAAAACAAAGGGTTTGCAGATAGCAGCAGGGTGTTGCTTTCTAACCGCATGGGACAAATGCCATCAGCCAGCCCACTCTGTGCCAGCCAAGAAGAGAGCAGGCTGAGCACTGCAGAAGAAAAATCACCAGAGATATTTTTACATCAGCCATTTTGAGGGTATTGCCGCAGCCCACCTCTGTGCTTGCCTGCAACGTGAGTTGAAGGAGAATTTTCTCTCCCCAACGCAAATTTTCTCACTGGCATCTCTGAAGTGCAAGTTGCCATGGAAACCATTTTGTCTGTGTCCCACGTTGCCCACATGTACTCGGAAGAAGCTGCAGAAGCAAAATGGCCGTTGTGTAATGCCGCAGGGTCTCGGAATATGAGGGGCTTGTGTGCTACACAGCACCCTTCCAGCTATGAGACCCTCTGAGAGAAGCTGCAGACCATTCCTTGGGAAAGCAATGAAACCCATGGAGGTTATGACGTGCTCGGTGAGAGAAGAACGGCCCCACCTCGCCTTAACTCTTGCAGTGCTTTGCATGGAGCTCCACACTGATCCTGCTGGCTCTCAGCACAGACTTCCTGCCACACTTCATCATTTTCAGTGTCACTGTGTCACTCCTACTCCTCCACCCATGGACGTGAGCCTCCACACCTATGTGCTGTGGCTCAGCCCACCCTGGTGGAGGGACAAAGGGTGCAAGTTAAAGAGAGCTTCAGCCATACTCTTAGGCTGCACATATTTGACTTCATCCTATCCTCTGCCTACCAGGCAGGTTGTTTGGGAAGAGACTGTTCTGGAGTGGGCTATGCAGATCCATACCCTGGTGAGTTTTATGGCAGTAGAATAATAAAGGCAGATCCTGGCCACAGCAGGAGACTTAGCAGAGAAAATGAAGGAAAAAGGCAGGCTTTGAAACATTTGGCTTGATCATATTGGAGTGCAAAAGGTCTTTCCTCCTTATTATCTAGAGTTCCCTGCAGGGAGAAAAAGGAGTGCAGTTGCTGAGCCTCTCCTGCGTTGCCCAGGAGTGTCAGATGGTCATAATCCAAAGTCAGGGTCTTCCCTCTGTGCCTCCATTCAGTTTTTGTCTCCAGAGACTCTTGCTCTGGCACCGTTGCAGAGATCTGAGAGACGCCTGCTTCCCTCCCAGGTCATGCCTCCCACCGGGCTGTGTTGTCCTGGCACCAGGAACAGCCCAGATCACAACCTCCAGCAGCCAGGCACAGCCAGCACAGATGTTGTCACTGCATGGCTCCCACACTTGCTGTGTCCTCGGGCTCTTTGATCATCTGAAGGCAGTGGGTGCACGCAGGGCTTTCCCAGGGTGGGAGCTGTGTAAATGGCAGGCGTGACTGCATCCACCAGCTGATCCTTGGGAGGGCTCTGGGGCAAGCAAAGGTCTTTACTTTTCCCGTCACTGCTTCCTGGCATATCATGGCAACCTTCTCAGCCATGGTTTGGCTCAAGAACTCAACACAATTGCCTGTTAGCAATTAACATGTGCATAGTGTGATCCTGCTCTTCATGTCTAAGCACCTTCTGGATGCAGGCGAGTTGGATGAGAGCACAGGACTGATGTTTGTGTGGTGTCCCCTTGCCTGTGAATGGTGTAGTTCTTCCAGTGGTCAGAGTAAGTCAGCATACAACCTACGGACTTTAGGGGAGCAGGATTGACCCCAGTGGGAAATTTCATCTGCCTTGGGGTAAGACACCAATCCCAGTCATGGAAAAGGTAATACGGAATTTCATAAAGGAGAAAATCAAGCACTAGGAATATGTGATTTGTGTCAGTCATCATGGAGCTGCCAAACAAACTAAATTCTTCTTTAGAGAAAGTTAAAATCTAATTGTGTAAGTCAGCATACAGCGTACGGACTTCAGGGGAGCAGGATTGAACCCAGTGGGAAATTTCATCTGCCTTGGGGTAAGACACCAATCCCGGTAATGGAAAAGGTAATACGGAATTTCATAAAGGAGAAAATCAAGCACTAGGAATATGTGATTTGTGTCAGTCATCATGGAGCTGCCAAACAAACTAAATTCTTCTTTAGAGAAAGTTAAAATCTAATTGTCAGCAGTAACCACATAGCTATAACACGGGCTATGGAAATGCATTTTATGTACAGCTGTAAGATGCAGGAATGGCTGAGCTAAGGTATAAAGCTAAATAAAGCACATACTGAATGATCATGGAAGATCTTTTAGAGCAGTTGTTAGTGAAGAACTGCAGTGGGATGGGGGTATTCCTACAGGTATGAGGGGATTTGAGATGTGGCTGAAACCTCAGTATTTCTGCCATTGCTCTGGAAGCAATCACTGATGATAAAATCTATGAGACAGCAAATAATGATTGCCAAATAACTTGGGTTCTTTGATAAACAGAGTACTGAACTTATTTTAAAGCAGCCAGTGCAGAGCCATGTAAGAAGAAGCAAGTATTGTTGGTCCTGCCCTTAGGACAGGACTGTGGATGCAGTGGAAGCACTGACTGGAAAAGTAGCCTCTAATATCGACCAGGGGGTCAGAGACCATGAATTTCAAAACAAAACGAATGCAGTGTTGGCCTTGGATGTGCCCCTTGAAGGATAAGAGCAGCAGCTGGTAACAGCTTGAGCCTTTGTATGAAGCACTGGAGCATCCTGGGTGGCAAAGTTGCCCACAGACGTGGGGATCACATCCTTTACACAGAGGCTGAATAGAAGTGGAGAAAAGGTCCTCTGAGAATATTCAGAGGAAAAACTCCTCATGAGCTGCTGGAGAAGAGGTGAGAAAGGATGACTTCAGAGGGTACTGCCTGCAGTGTCGGACCTTGCCTGCCAGGGGCAACGACAGAGAGCTGCCTCTGCTCTGATGCTTTCCCCAGGCGCTCTGGGCACTGGAGAAGCTGTCCTCACCATGTCACCATGCCATGGCCAGAGCCTCCTGCCCAGCTTCATCACTTCTGTTTCTGCCACTTGGGTACCTGGACACATCCCAGGGCAGCCCCACGCACTGGGCACCCTGCAGGCAGAGAAGCCTGCCCTTGGCAGCTCTCTGTTGTGTGATCAACACAAGGGTGGCCTGAGATGGGGACACAGAATAGCATTGACTCAGGCAGGCAGCAGGCAGGGGTGATGGACGAGGCAGGGGGTGCAGGGGTGCCCACAGCTCCTCACCACTCACCTGGAGGCTGCTGCAGAACGTTCCCCACTATCAGTCCACTGGTGGATGCGATTTGTGTGGGCAGCTGGGATGCAGCTGGAGGTTGTACCCTCGTCACGATGTCTGCCAGCCAGCCAGGCTGACAGGCTGGATGGTTGGTGTCTGTTAAGAGTTTCCCCACCTCCTGTGGTGGGGAGC